TTGCAGTTTTAGTGAAGGGTTTCCCACCTTTGCACATTCTTGTACACTCTTTTCAGCGCACCTGCACATTTTTGTCGGGGTGCAAGGTACGTCTAAGTAAGACCCTACCGACAGATAGGACAACTCCATAAGGATGCGGGCGATGGTAGCAGCCCTCCCGCTGATCTACAGGACGAAAACCATTCAGGTATATATATATATATATATATATATCGTCAAATATATATATATATATATATATATATATATTGTCAAACAGAACTGCCCGGTAAGCCATAGGCAGAGAGTGAGAAGAGGACAACAAACGAGGGGCTGTGACAAACTGTTTCGTCGGAGTTTCACCGATTCATCAGGAGGCTTAACGCTCAACAGTGTGCAGAATCCCGTAACTGATTACACTGTAAGTGATAATCCACCTTAACCCCGGTTAAGCATCAAGGACTGCCCGACAACTGATACCCTGAAGTGGGCACCAACCACTGCCCTATAGGTACCTGTGACGAAAATCAGAGCAGACTATCACTCATCCACACCATATGGAAAACTCTACAGACTGACGGTTCACACCCCATCACAAGCCAGCGAAACACCCACGAAACAAAGAAAGGTCTATCACAGCCAGAAAATACACATATATTGTCACATATATGTACATATATACTGACAGCATATGTCGTCAAACACACACACACACAAATAAATACACACATACACGCAAACTCCCAGCGCCTTTGTCTTCGTCTTCGTCTCTCTTAAATAAATACACACATACACGCAAACTCCCAGCGCCTTTGTCTTCGTCTTCGTCTCTCTTACCTCTCTCTCTCTCTCTTCTCCCCTTCCTCTTTCTCTCTCCCCATCATCTCTCCCTCCCCTCCCCTACTGTCTGCCTTCCTGCCACCCTCCCCCCTCTCATCCTCTCACTCAAGCCCCACTACCGTCTTCACCCGAATAGAACGCCCGGTCATTATCGCTGTATGTAGACTGAAAGTTGCACCAAATACGGCTATAATGACCGGGCGTTCTATTCGGGTGAAGATGGTAGGCTCCACTCGATGAGTTGCCAGGATTTTGGAACTAATCCGGCGGCACTGGCCTTGAGCAGCGTCCCGTGAAGTTGCTCCCATGGACAGATCCGAGGGGCCCAGAGAAACGGACAATGCTGATCAACAGAATGGAATGGCTGCAAACAGTGCAAAGCGGATGATAACGAGGGGCAATCCAAATATGGCAATGAGGAGTTGAAGAAGGGTGAGGCTGAGGTGGTTTAGCATGTTTTCTTCGTCGTTTCTGCCCTTGAAAACTGACATCTCTCATCAATGGAGTATCAAAGAGTTGGAGACAGGCTGTAGAGAAGGAAGAGGAGAAAGGAGTGGCCACAAGAAGAATGGAAAGGAGGGGCATCAGATACAGAGACCACGAGGAGAATGATGATGAGGAGGTGGTCTAGCTTTTTGTCCCGTTTCTTTTTTTCTATCCTTGGAAAGCTCATCTCTCTCATCAGTGAGACATCAAGTAGTTGGAGAAAGGCTACAGAGGAGGTAGACGACAAGGGGATACCTGGCGGTTGATGTCCACAAGACTTCACAAAAACTGAACACTATTCGGGTAATAGGGGAGGATGGGCTTTTTTAAGGCTACTGCCATCAGTAGAAACGATTGTGGGATCGATGCGTGGCCACAGTAGCAAGAGAGGGTGGCGGTGTTTACCTGACCAGGCTGACCCCTAAAAAATCTCTTGCCGGTTTTCCGTTGGTTTCCTGGACTTTCTGATTTTCCGTTCTCGGTTCCTGTCCGATCATCTCCTAACAACGTTCCCCATCGCCATCAACACAAACACAAGTGGAGCTGAGTGGCTCCCCACCCTTGAGGCTGAATGGTACACACATGGAACTGTAGATAAACAGGTCACAAGTTCGAATCCTAATACGGATAGATACAATAACCTTAAACCAACCCAGTACTTCCTAAAGTCTTTCCCCGTAAACAGGCCGCGACTTTACGAAACGTACAGGCCCCTACAGGAGCGCCCAACTTCATCCGACTACAAATGTTTCTACTCTGTATTTGTCCTCGGCCTATAGCTGGGCCATGTACTGGTGGTTTAATAACTTTAACGGATAGCAACCTTGAAAAAACAAAAGAAAAGAGGGGAGGGGGAGGGGAGAGGAGGGGGATGGAACTGTGTGTGTATGGCTTCATGCAGACCAGAAACATAGGGCTGTGAAGGTGATGTAATGGACACAATCAAGTAGTGGAGGAGGACGTCTTCTTTTGAAAAAGGAGTTAGACGACCAGTGTCCCGATGCGGCAGATTCGTGCTGCACGCCAAGAGAGAGCGCACTTTTTTGAAGTTTTTTCTTTTTCTTCGCCTGGCACCAATCACCAGCCACTTCGATGTGGCAGATTCGTGCTGCACGCCAAGAGAGAGAGCACACTTTTTTGAAGTTTTCTCTTTCTTTGCCTGGCACCAACCACCAGCCATTTCGATGCGGCAGATTCGTGCTGCACGCCAAGAGAGAGCACACTTTTTTGAAGTTTTTTCTCTTTCTTTGCCTGGCACCAACCACCAGCCATTTCGATGCGGCAGGCCAAGCCCTGCGAATACGGACATGTCGGAGCATTTTGCATGAAGAGAGAGCACCCTTTTTTCTCGCTTATTGCATGGCACCAACCACCAGCCATTGGGATGCGGCAGGCCAAGCCCTGAAGGCCGCCACAGTGCAAATATGGCCATGTCGGAACATTTTGCCAGCGAAAAAAGTGCTGGCGTTTAAAGTTTTAACCAAAGAACACAATTTTCGCTGCTGCTGCCGAGAAAACAAAGCCCGCACCTTTTCACATTCAGCCTATTGATAACGAACGAGCTGAAGCATGTGTACCGTTCAGGCCTGATTGAAGGCAGTCCAATTTTGGTGCTTGAGAGGTACGTCAAATATTGGTTGATGAGCCAGACGGTAAAGAGACCGACGTAGGGAACGGGCAGTTAGTTGGGTCCAGTCTTTCCTCCCTTAAACCGCCAGTTTCACACGAGCCTAAGTTGACGAATCTACCTTCCACGCCTCGCAAGCCTGCAACTGCAGCTTCTCATCAAAACGGCCTGCCGCTTTTGCTACGGAACAGTCTTACCGGGCATTTATCGGCAAGGCGACAACTTTAGATCACATAAATTTGTGGTTTTTAAAATAAATGCCGGCCGTTGAGAGGCAGAAGGGCAAGAAGGCCAGACTGCTTTGGAAGTTGGCTCAGAGAGAACAGGCACACTAAAACTTCGACGACGGCAATCGAACGCCATGCATTCAGTGTTGGATTGGAGGCAGTGTGTTGATTGCCTTTTTTTTTGCTCCTCACTGCTGACCCCGGTAGTGCTACCGGCTCAGGAAAGTCGATAAAGGTTCTTCGAATCTCTCTTCAGAACTCAAGGGTGCCTTCTTGTAATGTGCCACTTGACACGCTGCAAACAATTGTGGTTCAGGCCTACAGGAGGGTGAGGGCTACCTTCTGCCCCCGAATACATCGTACGTCGTACGGTCATTATAGCTGTGTATCTAGACTGAAACACGCCTCAAATACACTGCTATAATGACTGTACGTTGTATTCGGAGGAAGAAGGGCTAGCCGCGCCTGGCAAGGTCGCACGCACCGTTGACATTTCTTTCTGAACGACCGGGCAGCACAGCGCATTGGGGAAAAAAGAGGTTCAGACGAGCTGGTGGCTAAAACGACCTTGCCGAGCGCCGAAACACACTGCGCCCCAAAAAAGAAAGCGAACCGGCAATGGGCCTTCTCTTGCTTCGCAACGCCAGCCATTTTGTGACAGAAGCCAACCCCCAAAAGTTCCTGCGTGGCGCGCGCATGCAGCCGCGTCAGAGAAAAGTGGTTGGGAGACGTACTGGTCGTTTAAGAAAGCTCAGAAATGGCAGGGAGGGGGGGGGGGGAGGGRGGGGGGAGGGGGGGGGTTAATCATATAGAGGGGTAAATGAGCCTGAGTGCTGGGAGATCTGATGCGGAGTTGCAGAAACGGTGATGATGATATGATGTGGAATTGCACAAAGGGTGGTGGCTGCATGACTACTATTAGGAAACGGATGGGGGGATAAGGACCCTGGGTATTTTGGGGGTCTCCTAACACTTTTCCTGTAGTTCGCTCGAATATCTCCCCTCCCCCAATACCAGGGTAATAACCATCCCATCCGTTTCCCAATAGTAGTCATGCAGCCATCGCCCTCTGTGCAATTCCACATCATATCATTAGCACCCTTTCTGCAACTCCACATCAGATCTCCCAGCCCTCAGGCTCATTTACCTCAGTTTTGGACCCGTTAGTCAGGAGCTGAAAGCCAGGGGTCCCCGTTAGGACGACAACAGACTACTCGTAGGAAACGGATGGCAGGATAAGGACCCTGGTATTGGGGGAGGGGAGATATTCGAGCGAGCTACAGAAGTGTTAGATATACCTCGCTAAGAGACTGGGTTTTGCAGAGGAGTTTTGGCTTTAGGTGGCCCGTTCGAACTGGAGATGGTTGATGGGTACTGAGACTTGAGGCCTAGAGACTGGAGGTGCAGTCCCGTGAACCAATATCGGTCCCCCTGGACACTCATAATGTGCGTCTGAGTCCTGCATGGATATTTCCCTTCCATTATGTGAGCCCTGGTTCGGGAGAGATCCACAGCGCCGCGCCCCTAGCCCCCCCCCCCCCTCCTCCTGCAAAGCGTCTTGTGTGGCAGGGATAGTAAGCTGGACCTTTTTTCATCTGTCGCTAGACTCGCTACCTTTCTTTCTCTACCTTGAACATTGCTCTATACTTGCCGAAGTTGCCGGGGATTAGCAACTGGACTGCTGCCCCTCAGAATAGATGGGCCCTTGTCTTTATTTTTCTAAGAAAGGGGGGGGGAAAGAGGAGCCTCATGCAGGTCGAAGATACCACAGGAGACTAGAGTAGGTCGCACTGCAACTCCACCCTTTTTCATTTTTTATTTTTTTCTGGATTACAACTCACCCCTGAAATCAGGCAATGGAGAACAGGATATGGCGTTGTAAAGGATAGAAGCTGGTCTCTCATTTTCTCCATGGCTTCAATCATGCTCTGCCCAGTGACTAACTGCATGCACACAAACGACAACCACATAAGTTTTTCTTTTTTTTTCCCCTCTTTCTAAAGTTTACACTTCTTTTTTCTTCTTCTCTTTTTTTTTTCTTTGAATGTCCCTGTTGAAAATGCTCAAGCAGCAAGGCCAAAAATATCGCAGAAACAAATCAAACAACCTTTTATTCCGAAATCTGAACTAATCTGGGATACTTACCCCCTCCACACCCCCTCCCCCCCCCCCCCCCACCCCCCCCCCCCCCCCCAAAAAAAAAAAAAGGATTAGAGCCGAGATATGGGGAAAACGTTCCGAAAAAGTTTCGAAAAGCTCTTCACTTTTCTTCTTCTGAGTCCATTCTGAAGAATCTGAAGAATCTGAGCTCATGCTTGCCGTGGAGTTGCCAGTAATAAGCAACCGACTGATGCCCCCCAGAGTAGAAGGGGCTGGTGAGTTTTTTGGGGAAAAAAAAAAAAAGGATATGCGTATTATGGCTAGGAAGATTTTCATGACCGGCCGGTCACCTGGGCGTGTCGCCCGGGATACCCGGGCATGGTGGGAAAAAAAAAAAGTTGGCGGTCGGGTTTTCCCACGCTCTCCGAGAGGAGCCCAAATCCGGGCTCTTTTCTTTTTTTGAGAGTTGGCTGTCAAAGGGGGGAAAGGGGAGTATAAATGAATTTTGAAGGGGCTAAAGGGGTTTAAAGGGGGGGGGCTTACTGTGATTTGGTTAATTTGTTCTTTATCTTCAGTTCCGTGACGAATTCTGATGTGACCCTCAGCCAAAAGTTGTTTGTAACTTTGTATTAAAATTCTACACAATGCCCGGGGGTCATGCCCGGCCGGTCACCCGGTCGCCAAACCGGGCGTGACGTCGGGACCCGGAGGCCCGGGATATCTCGCTAGTATTATGGGGTAAAAAAAAGGACCTGAGATATTGATATTTCATAGAAAACTGGTTTCAGTTAAGCATCAGCGACGGCCCACTGGTACCCTGAGGTGGACACCGACGACTGTGGTCAAGGTACTCGCGACGAACATCGAAGCGGACTATCACTCGCCCACACCGGACAGAAAACTCAACAGACTCCAGGTTCCATCCCATCATTGTAAGCCAACAAAACACCTATGAAACAAGCGGAGGTCTGTCACAGCCAGAAAATACACTCCAGACACAGGGCTGGTGCTAGAGGCACAGCATGGCCGTGTGGTGACGACCCCGACCACTGCGGTTCAAACTTCAACGTGAGCGGAGAAAACCGTAGCAGGGAGCTAGCGAAGTCCCGATGTATATCGTCAAACAGAGCTGCCCACTTAAACATAGGCACCTGACAATGAACACCTTTCGCGAACGAGTTAACGGTCGAGGTGTTGGGCTGAGGTGGGATTTGAAGCGGAAACCTGGCCCGAGTGAGAGGTGCGAGCTGTTTCCACTTTTGCTGATTTCTGTGTGTCGCTGCTGTGCAGATTTAAACCACCAGTACTTCCTATAAAGGCGTGCCCGTAAACAAGCCGCGACTTTAGGACACATACGGGCCACTGCAGAAGCACCCAAATTCCTCCGACTAGAAACGTTTCTACTCTACTCTTTTCCGCGGCCGATAGCTGGGCCAAGTACTGGTGGTGGTTTAAACCTGGCACCGTGAACCTAGCTGGCCCTAGACATATGGGACCCGGGACTGTAGTTTCTTCTAGACCAGACCTCAGCAGGATCCTGCAGGCCCAGACAAAAAATGGTAGAAGCAGAGCACGACCGTCTTCACCCGAATAAGAGCGCCCGGTCATTTTCGCTGTATTTGGAGCAACTCTTAGTCCAGACACGGCAGTGGAAACCAGGCGTTCTATTCCGGCGGAGACGAAACCAGGCGTTCTATTCCGGCGGAGACGACAGTTTTAGCGATTGCACAGAGAATTTGGGCGCAGGCAAAGCCAGCAGTGTGTTCTGGCTCTACACTGTACTGTCTCCAGTGCCACTTTTTGCAGGCTGCCCAGAGGCAGCGCCCAAACAGAGAGTATTTTTTGTAGTTTTCATCAAGCATGCTACCAGTCTGATAGTCCAACACAAAAGCGGTCAACACACAGCCGACGTGGCTGTATGGTTCACACATGTTACTGGTAATAAACAGGTCATGAGATCGAATCCTGATAAGACAGATACAATAAGAGTAGGGGTTACTCTCTTTAAGAAGAAAGAAGAAGAAGCAGCAGTAGTCCAACACAAAAGCGGTCAAGAAACAGCCCATGTGGCTGTATGATACGCACATGTTACAGTTAATAAACAGGTCATGAGATCAAATACTGATCAGACAGATACAATAAGAGTAGGGGCTACTTTCTGTAAGAAGAAGAAGAAGAAGAAGAAGAAGCAGTGCAGTATGAATGGGATGTATAATTCACCACAGACTGGGGACAAAGCAGCTGTGCACTCTTTGTATGTCTACCATGACCACAAACAAACTGCCACTAAGATGCTAGGGAATATAGATGTGTTTTACTTCAAGTTGGGAGGGTCCTGTAGGAATGAAGGTCCCAAAGGGCAATCAATGCTGGCAGGCAGCAAACAGTTCTCGAAGATCTTACTGCAGGCAAGTCATTGTACAGGGGACACTCGACCCATTTTCCAGCAGGTGCTGCTCCCCACCAATCGATGGAGCCTCCGCTACGGTACTAGTGGTGTGTGCTCATATCAGCACCCCCTAGCATCCAGAAGGGAGTTTTTGTTCTACAAAAAAAAAAAAAAAGGGATCCCGAATCTCGAGGTGAACGGATGCCAGTACAGGGATACCACAAACAAACTGCCACTAGCGTTTCTTTTTTCTTCTCCTTTTTCTTTGAGGTAATTCATTCATCTATCTGGTTCCATCATCCTGGCTTCGAACTCAGGAGGTCTGTGTTTTAAGTTTAAACAGTTCATGGGTGTACCAACTGGTACTGCCACTAAGATTCTACTAGGGAAGATCCAACTTCAAACTCAAAGTTCCTTTAGTGATCTGGATGGAGGGGTGTGAATCCAGTAGAGGGATCCTCTGGCAATCAGAACATTCATAATTTCATACCATTTATCCAATCAGGATAGGAAGCCCCGTTAAACAACTAGTACCTTTGTCGGTTTGAAAAATAGTGGGCCTCCGACATTTCAAGAGGCCGCAACGAAACGCGGACTGCTGATCAGATTTATCACCGGCAGCCGTTGTCGGGCCCGGCCTCCTAAGAGTTTGGGACTAGGCTAAAACTTGTTGAAACCTGTTAATAAACTGATAACGAGTACTTACTACTTAGTATTTCAGATCCTCATGCCTACTACAATATGAAGACAATGATAAACAATCGTATCAGCGGCTATAAAGCTCCCTGCTCTCTTTGTTCCCGCTCCTCCACTCCTTCTGGCGCTTTATTTTGGAATAATTTTTGGTAATGAAAAAAAAAAAGGATGGGGCAAGCGATTGTTGTATCGCCTACCACATATGCATGTGTGACTTTCATGAGCTGATAATCGAGCGAGGATAAGGTGGATCTTGAGCATGCCGTCTTTAGCGTTCTGAAGACGAAAACAATTCTGTGTTTTGGAAATAAGAATTTCGGATTTCGGCTGGCAAAAAGAAAAAAAAAAGCATTCTGAATGGGTTTAGCCCATCGCTGAAGTACGCATTGGAAAGGCGAGAGAGGAACTGCACCTAGCACCGTAGGAAATTCCAACGCCGTACTGTCTCCACCCACCCGAACACAACACCCGGTCATTATAGCCGTATTTGGTGCAATTTTCAGTCCAGATATACAGCTATAATGACCGGGCATTCTATTCGGGCGAAGATGGTAGGGACCATAGGGCACAGCATTTGCCATTTGGCATTTTCAAAACCATCGGGCGCGCAGGTGCCGCAACAGACGTGAACACAATACAAGCTGGGAGTGGGTGAATCTGCAGCGTTGGGCCTAAGGACGTCAGAGATACCCGTAGTGGGAGATACTTATTTGAAGTTATTTTCGTGCCCTTCAAACATACACCATATTGTGATGACCCGACCAAACATGGACTGAAACACACGGCTGATTTCTGAGTTTTGCTCATGGACGGAATGCCTTGCTGAGTTTCCCGCTTGCTACTAAGTCTGTGTGTGTGCACGCTTGCTGGACTGCATGTCTGTCTGAGTGCTGGTTGGCTCGAGTACGTGCATGGCCCGTAAGGGCACTTGTTCGTTCGTTGGGCCCTCAGGGCCGGTACTTACCTGTGGCCGTGACATTGAGGGATTGCAGCAGGGGAAAACACTCAAGTAGCAGGTAGGGCGGTACCGCACCCTGAAGAGGTAGATGTGCGGGTACTGGAGGCCGAGCAGAAGAAGACAAAAGTGGCATTTTGAGAGGCCCAGTAGTTGTAGGCTAGGTCTAGGCGGGTACCAGTCCAACCAGTCTGAGTCTAGGGACTGTACGGGCAATATCAGAGTCTTCAATGATGTTTCCCTCCGAAAGGGAGGAGGTACCGGTTGCTGGGAAGGCCGAGCGGCCTGGAAGTCACCGC